GCTGAATTGCACAAAACGCATGATCGCACCGGCTAGTCTGGTGCGCGTTGCCATTTATTTCCATTCTTTCTTATTATAACTCTGTTTTCAATCGAACTAAAGCTTTCTTTTTCTCTGAGAAAACCTGTTGAATTTCGATGGGAAAAGCTAACTGGGTGTAGTCTAGTTTAACTTTGTTCGTTTTTTTTCATTCCAAAAGAATTGATTATTTTTTAATTACAGGAAAATATAATTTAGTTCAAATTGTTGTTTTTTTTTTAATTTAGAAAAGTCGATTATTTTTTAATTCCAAAATTGCAATTCTGATTTTGTTCAGTTTTTTTTTTTTTTTTACAGATGTATTGCCGCAGAATTACCATGGGGATCACTGAAGGTTGTTGCTATGACAGGCATCGATTTCAGTGCTCCACCCGGTCATTTTGCCCTGAAATCGGTGTTGCAAGAATTGTTTACTGTATTCGATCGCAGAATTCACAATCTCAAAGATATCGATGTAAGAAATTTTGCTGATAATCATAACAGTGTAGGAAATGATGAACAGAATGAGGCTAAAGGGTGGGAAGCGACGTAATTGACGTATAAATTCTGTAAAAGCATTTAAAGTAAACTTGATTTTTCTGTTTTTGCTCTGTATATGGTCCTAGTTTCACGGGCCCATGAATTCTTTGGCGGGAAAATTGCTAACTTGGGAACCAGAAAAGCTGAAACTTAACGGAATGCTAACGAAATTTTCTCAACTTTTCGAGCTGGCATAATTCCAAAATGAAAGCTGAAATTTGACGGAATGCTACCGATATTTGCTCAACTTTTCCAACTGGCATGATCGCAAAATTCTGTACATGCGAGTCTAGAGGGATGCTAGCAACTTCTTGTTTGTACCGTTAAATAGACTCTGAAAAGGTCAGAAAATTTCGTTAATCAATGATCGTAAACCTAAAAATAGAGTAGTTTTAGCGCTAAATTACTATTTTTTGATATTTGCTGGCAAATAAAATTGGCAAAATCCAAAAAATAAGTTATTTGATGTGGCGGTTTAATAATTCAAATTTGAGAAGCGAAAAAATTGTCGGGACCGCCACTGCAGGCTACTGCTGTCAAAATACGGACATACATGTACACACATATACATACACACATAACAAACATACATACATACATACATACATACATACATACATACATACATACATACATACATACATTCATACATACATACATGCACACATACGTACATACACACATACATACACACATACATACATACACACATACATACACACACACACACACACACGGACAATCTCTCCTTAGTATGTATTTTTTTACGTTTTTGCTGTGCAACGCAATATCAGCAGACTTATTTTGGAATAACTAAAAATGTTACCAGCTGCATATCCAGATGCTATAAAGTACTGCTGATCCAAATGCTTCATTTTTATAGCATTAAAATTTGAGGGTAACTTATCTGGATTTATGTTAATTTTTCCAATGTGATTGGTTAGTTTATCAAAATTGGGACTCTTAACCAAAATTCTTAACCAAAAACCAAAATCCTTGACCAAAAACCAAAATTCTTAAGCAAAAATTGTCTCATCTTAGTGGTTTTTTAAGGCTCCCATCAACATAAGTGGTAATCTTCGGTTTTCTGGTTTTTTTAGGACAAAAATTTTGGCAAAACATTCCCAGTTGGTGAGGATAGCTATTTGGAAAATCTCCTTCGAACCCTCAGTTCACTCTGTGAACATTGCTTACCG